AAATGTTTTTTATGCGTTAGACCCCTTTTAAACAAAGAAACATTTATTTATTAGATATTTTATCAGAAATCAGAGTATAAGTATACAAAACCTAAGATTAAAAAAAAGTTACAACAAGTTTAATAAAATCTTTGTTCAAGTTCTTTAATACATCTTGAACTCCATCTTTAATACATCATCTCCATCTTAAAGAGCTAATAATTGGAGTTGAACTGCACAATAATCTTCGCATAACATCATCATTTGTGACTTTCCTTGTGACTTTCCTTGTGACTTTCTTTTCCTTGTGACTTTCCTTGTGACTTTCCATTTTCTTGTATGTGTGCTATAATTTTTAACGTCTTTATTTTGATATTCCTGAGCTTCCTTAGAAAGAAGACCTACTGGTACTGGTTTATCTCTTACAACTTGAGAACTATAAATTAGAATTTTATGTAAAATTTGAGGCATTGGAAACCATGGGTACAGAGAAACATAGAGCTCTGCTGTTTCTTTGGTATATATTTTCAAGTTCATCAGCGTTAATTTGATGTTTGTATGATAAAGCACAAAGAATTACATAGAAACTTTTCATGAGATTTTTATCTAAGCCAAGTATTTCAGCAGGCAACTTATAGTTTCGGAATATTTTTCTTGCCGTTTTTCCATCATTTGTTGAACCTGAACCGCTGCTTTTTGGTACATCTACAATTGAACCTAAGTGATCTTTCCTAATTCAATTCTATAACTTATATGTAGGCAGCATTCAAAGCACCTAACCCATGCATGTAGTGTGCTCAATCCGAGCTCAGTGGAAACTTTATTATAGATTTTTGAAAAAGCAACATTTAGGTTGTTCATATTTGAAGTGGTCATTCCACAAATACTACATACTTGAAAAGCAACATTTAGGTTGTACATATTTGAAGGGGTCAGTCCACAAATACTACAAACTTGAAAAGCTACATTTAAATTGTTCATATTTGATAGGGGTCAGTCCACAAATATTACATACTTGAAAAGAATTACTTAAAAGCAAAACTATAGTAGCCACTTTTCCATCAATCATTTTGCATTCTAAGTTATGTTTGATAAAAAAGGAATTAAAGATTATTGGTTTCAAATTACTGTTCTTAAAGAAATATATTCTTGTGCAATAACTTCAGCACATATTGAAACCTTACTGGACGGCAGTTAAGTGAAGAGGGTGGTTTTTCTTTAGTCCAAAGTGATTCGCCAGATTTTTCAATATAAAGTTTAATTAGAGCGATGTAGGACAGAAATAAAGATTGTTCTTCAACATAACTGATACTTATCTCTCTTCTGTACTTTGTTTCTATAATGATTGTCCAGTTGAACAATCAAATACTACTTTTTGTATAAAAACAAGAATGGATTTCTTAAGATCCTTTACAGATTCATTGAGTATTTTTAATAACCTGTATGTAGTATGGTCAATAAGGCTTTGTAAATCAACTGAGGCTGAATAATCAGTATTCCACAAAGTTTGTATTCCACAACGAGGTATGCATAAATCTTTTTCTTCCCTTCATTATAAGTTGGATACAATTTGTTACCTTTAGAAACTGTTCCGATGCGAGTTGTTTGGTAATTGGCTTTACTAAGTCAGCTGTTTAAAATCAATGCTTCCTCTCCAGTATACATTGTTGTTGAATTGACTGCACCATCTTTTTCTGATTTTACTATTTTCTTTACAACCTTAAGTGTAAATATGTAAATTTGAAGAGTGAGGTGAATACAATCCACTAAGAAAATTTAACACCTGTATTATTTTAAAGATTTTTTTTAAATAAATAAGTATTGAGGTTAATGTGCCTTAGCATCGCTGAACATTTTTTTCCTTTTTTAGTTTCAAAATAAGGGAGTAAAATAATTCCTCACTTTTGACAGCAATGTTTTTTCTGCTCTCCTCTTCTTTGTTTTTTCAGAAGCTTGGGTGATGGGTATTTTCAGAAGCTTGGGTGATCGATATTTTCAGAAGCTTGGGTGATCAGTATTTTCAGAAGCTTGGGTGATCGGTATTTTCAGAAGCTTGGGTGATCGGTTTTTTCAGAAGCTTGGGTGATCGGTATTTTCAGAAGCTTGGGTGATCAGTATTTTCAGAAGCTTGGGTGATCGGTATTTTTAGAAGCTTGGGTGATCGGTATTTTCAGAAGCTTGGGTGATCGATATTTTCAGAAGCTTGGGTGATCGGTATTTTCAGAAGCTTGGGTGATCGATATTTGCAGAAGCTTGGGTGATCGATATTTTCAGAAGCTTGGGTGATCGATATTTTCAGAAGCTTGGGTGATCGGTATGGAATTTGCACCTGGTGATCTTTCATGGTTTGCACTTGGTGGATAACTAATTAAAATTAAAATATTAGATGATTGTACTTAGTATAAACATTTGCTAAAACACAAGTTTTGGCTCTTATCTAGTTTATCTGTTTCAAAACATGCATCGTTTGTTTTAGTTCTTTTTCTAACCAGATTTTGTAATGCAACTCAAATCTATTCTTTTGTCTGTTTACTTTATTCCATTTTTTGTTAAACTGTTTAGAAAATAATTTAAGTCTATTTCAGAGATCCCTGTAACTGGGTTGGTAACTGATTTTTTTAATCGTCTTATCACAGAGCACCACAGATGAACCTCCTTTCTAACCGATGTCGCAAAACTTGCCTAGAGGTGGGGTTTGAACCACTGATCTTTTGATTCTGAGGCAAGTGCGCTACCACTGCGCCACAGCTGCAAAAAAAAAAATTGATTAAGTTGTTTTTCAAATAATGAAACAGTTTTTGAGTAATTTCTTTATTTTTCATAATAATTGGTGGAAAGAAATTTCAATTTAAAAGTTTTTTAAAGTTTTTAAATAGTATTCATATTTTACATAATTAAAAACATAATCATAATTAACTAAAATAAGTTTAAGTTTATAAATAAAAAAACCACATTACTTAATTAAAAAAATAGTATTAAATTTGTATTGTTTCTTGCAGTTTTCCGTATTTGAAATTAATTATTTAGAGTTCATACTTAACAACAATGTGCTTTGAACTATTAAAAATGTTAAGACACTATAAAAAATCTCATAGTGGGGAAATGTAGGCGAAAAAAGATCTTGAGCCATTTATGGTAACTTTTTATTATATTTTGTGATACTTTTAACTGTCATATTTAAAGTTAAGAAAAAGTCCTTAAATACAAGATTATTTTCATTTGTTAAGTTTTCTAAAATAAAGCATGTACCCTGATACTGCGTTATAGAGTTTTAATTAAATTTAAAAAAACTGCACTTATGAGGTGAAATTCAATTTTATGAGCATTTGCTCTTTTTTTTTTTTTTTTTTTTAAAAAAGTTTTTTAAATGAACGAGGTTGAAAACTTTCTCAGGACTCCTAAAACAAAAATTAAAATATTTACAGATTTTTTTATTGTGGGGTATTTACTTTTAAAATTTTGCAAAAAAAAGTTTCCACAAATACTCATTTTTGGCTTCTACTTTTAAAAAAAATATTTGTTATTTATCTCGACATTTGGCACAATCATGTTTTGTCTATAACGAAATGAATAAAAAATTTGCAAATAACATTTTAAACATTGCAAATATATAAACCAAACAAAGTTAATTTTTTTACAAGTGATTTTATAAAAAAGTTTAATTTTTTTTTTTTTTTACAAAATGATTTATACAAGCTTGTATTATTAGAGTGTGTGATTATCGCTTATTTTATTTTTTACAAGTGAATTTATAAAAAGTTTAATTTTTTTTTTTTACAAAATGATTTATATACGCCTGTATTATTAAAGTGTGTGATTATTTTATTGAAATGTGTTTTATTAAAGTGTGTGACTATTTTATTGAAATGTGTTTTATTAAAGTGTGTGATTGAAAAATGTGTTTTATTAAAACTTTTTTTATTAAATCAAAAATGTGTTTTATTAAATCTTTTTTTATTAAATCAACCTTAATATAAGTTTTGTATTTTTAATATTTAAAAGAATTTTAAATTTAAAAGAATTTCATTTCTAATAAAATGAAATAAAAAAGTGGAATAAAATAAACTAAAAAGAAGAAATAATTCTTGCAAAAAAGAAGGTTTTGCTTATCGGACAATTTATAATAGTAGTGTGGTAAAATGTAAAATCAATCACGTTAAACCTAAGTATTACAAAATTTAATATGAGAATTATATTTTTTATATAGCTTTTTTTAAGTGTATATGCTTTTAATAAACACTGCGCCTGTCAAGTGATAAAATCAATCATTGTATTGAAACCAAACAACTAAATTTTAACAGTCAAGCAAAATTAGTTAAAAGTTTTTTAAAGTAATGTTTTATTGCCAGTTTTTTGAAGTGTTGTATTTCCAAGACCTGAACAAATTTATAAATCTAACATTGTCTAAATATTCACATGCTTGCCAGATAATTTTGGTTAGATTAATTTATTTTTTAATTTTTTATACTTTGATCATTTTTGCTGTATTAAAAAAATGTGTGTACCTATTATTGTGTAAGTGGTAAATATCATTTATATGTAGATACTCCCAGCCTAATCCCTTAGTCAATCTGTGTAATGAAGCCCCAAAATATGCCTATTAACATCATCACTGATGTTTTATGTGCAGCTAAATTGATATTCATACACAAAAGTTTTATAAATATTTTTTAATAAAACTGCTTATTTAATTATGGAGTGTTTCATTTTGTTATGACATTTATGTTGTTGTTAAAAGAAAAAATATTCTATTATTTCATTATTTTTTTTTTATTTCATATTTATATTATTTTCATAATACAATATAAAGAAGACATTATATTGCCATTAACATAGTGAATATTGTATAATATATTGTATTTTTATATATTGTATTATAATATAATATTATTAAAGTATAATATTATAATATAACATTCATAATATAATATTATGAATGTTAATAGAAAGAGTATTGTAATACTATAATATTGCAATATTTCATGCAAAATGAAACTAAATAAAATAAATATTGTATTTAGTTTGTACAATGTCTTAATCACTTGAAACTAAACTTTGAAAACTGTTCAGCTACATTGGATAAACTTAGAGATGTTGTTGATGGGATTGACTTTGGTTTTGAAGAAACAACAAGAAAAGAAATTACTGTGACATTAAGTAAGTTTTTTATTTTATTATATATACTTGTTTTTATTATATATACTTGTTTTTTTTGCACTTATAAAATTTGTCTATAAAACTGTCAAATGTTTTTTTATAATTTCAAAACAATTTATCACAAAATACTAAATAGATAAATTTATTTCATTTTTTATTAAAAAATTTCATTTTTTATTAAAAAAAACTTCTTTGACACTTGTTAAATTCTTACAGTGATTATTTTTGTTGTTCATGTAATTTATCGTGTGGTGTTAGTTATGTAATGCGTGAAATCTTGTTTTGCTCATATTTATGTTAATTATGCTCATAAATTTGTTAATTCAAATTTTATTTAATATTACATTATGATTTTGAAGAATATAGCTTTTTTTTTATTGATTTATGATTTGATTTGTTTCAGGCTCTTTGTGTAAAGAAATGAGAAGTGAAGAAAATGAGTTTGTTGAATCATTCAAGTCACTTCTTGTTGTCCTAAGGTCTTGTGCTATTGTTATACCAAAGTTATTTAAGTATGCTGAAGGTATATTTTGTTTTTCTTTTGAAAAAGTTTTTTTTTTTACTTTTCTTTTATTCATATTTTTGTTCATTTTTTACTGTTTACATACATCAAGTGACAAAATGGTAGAACATGCGAAGAGTGTAGCTAAAAATACTTAAAATTGCTTAAAACAAAATCGATCAAAAGATTTTAACTTTTACTTTAGCTAAATGCATTTTTTTAAATTCAAACCCAATAAAAATAGATACCAGACTTCAAGAACTCAAACATCTTTTAGTTCGATGCAATTACCTAGTAAAAATGGCCGAAAATGGGATTATGAAACTTTTAGACAATAAATTAAAATCAGTTATTAAAAACATCTCTGTTGTTTTATCCCAACATCAACCAAAAAATATTTTGAGAACAATTATTAAATCAAATTTTTATAAAGAACCAACCTTTAGCCTTTAGGTAAGCCTTCTTAAATAGTGAATGCAAGGTCTAAAATGCGCATCAAAATGTTGTAAGTTATGTTGTGTACCTTCAGCTCATCAACCATTTTACTGCATCTTTGGGTAAGTATGGAACATTAAAACACCAATGCCTTCAAAAAATGTTATTTTTTATCATGTATTGGATGTGATAAAAAAAATTTTTTTGACAACTTGGCCAATGTAAAAAAATTTTTTTTGACAACTTGGCCATGGTCTTTTGCATACATTGATAAGTCGCATTATTTAAAAAATGCGCTAATAAAAACAAACTAATTTTAAGACAAAATTAAAAATAAGCAAACAATAAACTGAAAAAAACAAGAAACAAGAAAAAAAACGAGAAATAAACTTAGTGAATGATAAAATAAATAATGAATAAACCAGAGAAAGTAAAAGCATACTAATATATTTTTTAATTTAGAAGCGTCTCAATTAATTGTTAAAACTTAATTAATTTAAAAGCCTTTCAATTAGTAGTTTAAAGCTAATAATTTTTCCTATACCACCACATCAATGTAGCGCATAGGTTGACTTATTGTGTCATTTATGAGGCGCACCTGTTATATCAGCATTGGTTATAGGTTCAAATCCTACTAACAAATAAATTTTTTGTTTTGTTTTATTTGCTTCAAAATATCAAAGTTTCTTGGGTTAAATAATAATAACTTTGAAGTTTCAATTTTTTCTAAATTATTTGCATTGAAACACTTTTAAATTACAAGTGGTAATACAAGATGCATTCAGATAAATTTGGTTCAGCCTGATTACAAATGCTGATTATAAAGAATTTTATATAATTGTAAAACAAACAAAAAAATTTATTCACGACTAAAGATTATAGAAAAGACCTTTATTGTTTCCTTAAGACATTATATCATACCATATAATTTTTGAGGAAACTGGAGATAAAATTTCACCATAAAGACCAGGGAATAAAAGAATGGTTTATACCAAAAAATTCATAAAGGTCATTATCGAACTAGTTAGATGCAACCCAACTCAACCAGGAAGATCGATTGCAAAAGATTTAGAACTGATCTCAAAACATCAGAAATTTAATTAAAACAGACTTTAGGATGAAAGCTTATATAAAATAATTATATGCTGGTCTTACAAATAGAAATAAACTTGAGTGTACTAAGAGATGCAAAATAATAAAGTTTTTGAAAACAAAAACAAAAAAATTTAAAAAATTTTTTGTTTTTATTTTCAAAATTTATACATTGGGCAAGGAGGTAATTTATTTTGTTTTGTAAATTTGCATATGTAAATATTTGCGAAGTAAAGGTTGTTGGATGCATACAAGTGCATAGGAGAGAGAAGGGTTCCCAAATTAGTGGTTTTACTGCATATGTACTTTATGCACATTAAAATGTTGTAAGTTATGTTCTGTGTACCTTCAGTTTGTCAACCATTTTACTAGATATATATATGTATATGTGTATATATATATATATATATATATATATATATATATATATATATATATATATATATATATATATATATATATATATCTTTTTTCAAACATTTCGTAGAATAAATTTGAAAAAAACATGCCTTTATAAGACTTTTAATTACGTAAATTATTTCTACTTCTATATTTTGAAAAAACATGCAAAAAAACTAAGGTGTACAAAACTCTAGCTCAATTTTACATCTTTGTAACCTGCCTTTTTAATGCTTTGTAACAGCATTTGGTCTGTAAAGTAAGTGTAGCTTAGGGAAAAAATACCTGTTTGACTCACCTCCTTGACCAAATGTAAGGCCAATGACTTGATAAAATATTTAGTTTTACAACCTTAAACTAAATTTATCTACAGTTTTTCAATTTCATCTAATTATATTTTAGTGTTCAAAAGTTATGACTATGTAAAATTTACACCCTCCTCATTTTTATAAAATTTTTTTATAATTAATAGAAAAAACATAACATATGAAATTTTGATATAATTACTAGTAAAAATATGAAAAAATTTTCTTTTGCAGTTAGATCAATATGTTTTTATTAATAGTTGAAATACAAAAAAAATTTTATAAGATTGGAAAATATGTGATTTTATTGATGTTTAAACTTCTGATGGGGCCAAATATATATATATATATATATATATATATATATATATATATATATATATATATATATATATATATATATATATATATATATATATATATATATATATATATATATATATATATATATATATATGTATATATATATATATCGTTACCCTTGCATATATAGATCGGCATTGTCATTATATATTTTGTACACTTAAAGTTTAAAAATGCTGACAATCAAAATTTTTTATTTGTTTATTATATATATTTAGAACAACATTAAGTTAAACCCAATGTTATATTCAATCAAAAAATTTTATTTTGTGTACAAAAACAAAATCTAACATGAGCAAATATATAGTATCGTGTTATATATATCTAAGTTAACATTTAGTATGGTGCTCTTTTGCTGCTATTTAGGCTTGAATTTGTTGTGGCATGCTCAGGCATGCTTAGCTGTATGATTCTAAATAGCTACGAGCCTTTTGATATGTTTTGTCTTTGTATTAATCACATTTTTAACTATTTCTTGTCCTAAAAGCTTCCACATGTTTGTTATTAGATTCATATCCATATTTTTTTGCCCATTCAAACATTTTTTAACCATAGTTAGCATTAATTTTGGTTTTTGAGCTGGTCAATGAGAAATAAACCAAAAATTCTTCAATGGTTTCTGCACTGTGTGTTGAGATATTTTCACGTGAGAATTATAGAGTTTTATCTGCCTATTTTTATGTGAGAATTTAACATTTGATACTTAATGTAAGAATTGAACATTTGATACTTCATGTGAGAATATAACATTTGATACTTCATATGAGAGTTTAACATTTGATACTTCATGTGAGAATTTAACTTTTAATACTGGGTAGACACAGAAAAAATAGGTCAACTTTAAATTGAGATTTCTTTAAAACCATAAATGCTTTTTATTTCATTTTTTTTTTATTATTAAATGTGTTTACATAAACTAGAGTTTCAACTTAATTTTAAGGGGCTTGATGGGCTGTTTGGCAAGAGATCGACTTTTATAGCGGGTTGATGCTATCAATTCCCAGATTTTTTCTTTTTTCACCTTATTGGTGTCATTAGTCTACTTTTTTTGGAAGTCCTTTTTATTTTTTGTTACTCTACCTGTCTTACAAAGAACTCCTTTAACTATTGCCTAAAAATCTTCAAGCTTGTGCTCTTCAGGACGATTTGGAGGATTTGCATCTTTAGAAACAAGTTTCACATTATTAGCTTTGCACCACTGTAGAAATTTTTTAGAATAGTGAGAGGCAGCAAGATCTGGCCAAAAAGGATATTGGTATTTGTGTTTTTTCATAAATGGCAAAAGTCTTTTTGGAGTAGAGGAGTTGAGGAGTCAAGGTCTTCTTAGAACAAGAGGACTGGATACCACAACTACAAATTGCTTGCTACACAAGGAACTTGGATGCAAATTTTTTCTTGTCTAATATATTTAAATTAATCATTGACAGGTTTATCTTTGTTCTCAGAGTAAAATTGTTGACCAGGAAGTTGTGAAAAATTCGCCTTGCAATGTTTCGTTGTCCTCAATTACGTACATACTTATAAATTTTTACGCTTTTTCTAAATAACAGACACTATCTGTTATTTAGAAAAAGCCTGACACTAAATGATAAAAAACATCCTTACACCATAATGCTGAATTCCAAATTTTATTGTGTTTTTAGCGTAATGTGGGTCAAACTCTTAATTTAGTGGTCTGCAGACAAACTGCTTACCATCTTATCCAAAAATATTAAATTTAGATTTCTTATTTGTCCATGACAAATATTTAAGACAAAACTCTTTTCTAGCTTTATTCATTTTTTCAATAAAGATACACTTTTAGGTGATCTCAAAATAAAATTGCTTTAATTAAATGCCTGCTAATTATATGTGAGGTAATTGTATGTGAGGTAATTATATGTGAGGTAATTGTAGTTACATTTAAATCTGAATTTATTTTTTATTAATATTGCTAGAGATAAATTTTAGCTTCATAAATAATGAATTTATTTTCTTGGTAAGTTGTTTTTTTTTTACACATTTTTGTAGTTTAAGATCAAGGTTTGGAACCGAAACACTCAGTTATTCTTAAGATCTCTCTGTTTCCACTGTTCTTATGTCATTGAATTACTAAGGAGGTGCAATTTAAAATTTCTACCCATAACATCCTAAGTTGTTATGGGTAGAAAATCACTTCAGCTGAACTCTGCATAAAATGCTTATTGAAAATACCATATTTCAAATTATACAGTATATTACTCATTGGCATAGAAAGCTCATAGCAGTTAGAAGGGGTTACTGAAGCAACCAGGTATGGGGATTTGCAGGGTAGGGGCAGCAGTGATCCTCCTTTAGAACTAAAGGAGAAAAATTACCCATTTCTGTGTTGTTGTTTTTTTTTTTTTTTTTCGCTTTTTATTTTCCACAAGTTGTTAGTTAGATTAAAAAATCAATGAGGATATGATAATCTTTTAATATATTAATAATAATACTTTGTAACAGTTCTTTTCTTAGAAGTCAAAGTGTTATATTTCGATTGCTATATTACATCTAAATGCTGAAAAAACTACTACATTGAATACAAACTTCGATTTTATGACCACAGCACAAAAAATTTTTTTTGTTAGTAGTACAAAACAATTTTGTTCTCTTGAGAACAAACAGCTATTTGTCATTGCAAAAAATTGATGTAAAAAGTGTAAAAACTGAAGAAATCGATGTAAAACGATGTAATAATTCTATTATTCTCAGTTATTCATATTGTAAAGCTGAATAATAAAAAGTATTGAAAAGTTGAATAAGAAAAAATATTGAAAAAGTGATTAACAAAAAATATTGAATAGAGTTTTCTAATGAAAAGTTAATAGTATGATCTTACAGGTGTCTAAAGCCACCAATATTTTTTCAGGTGATGAAGTTATATTGCAAGTGGTAAATAAGCTTCAGCGTGGCAACTTTACTGAAATAAAACTTTTGAGACTTCAATTTGTAAGTTTTATTTTGTAAGATTATTATATTGTTATGAAAAAAGTTTAATTTTTAAAAAATATTTAAATTTATTCATTTGATTATTATCATTATTTATGTTTTTATCAGCTAATTTTTGAGTACTATTTTCTTAAGAAAAATTTTCAAAACAAAAACAACTTAAAGTAACTAAATATTTTAACATATAATTATAACATGTAACATATAAATATAGCGTGTTACAAAAATATTTATTGATGTTGTTGTTGTACAATGTTAGCATCAGGTGGGCGTGGAAAAATTGGGTCAACTTTAAATTGAGATTTCTCTAAACCAAAAATGCTTTTAATTTCTTTTATTTTTATAATTAAACGTTACTTCCTTATCTTTAATTATATTGATATACTTTTGTTTACAAATCAATGATTTGCAAAATGTCTCGGAAACAAATTAAGTGCGTAAAAAAGTTCGCATTTTTATATCAAAAAATTACTTAAAAATGCTGGAATTAAAGCATTTTATAAGAAAAATACACCTAAGAGAAGCTTAAATGGTGAAGTTAAAGGAATTCGACGTGTAAAGAAGTTGGTTAAAATAATGGCGGATAAAAGTATGTGCATAATTCAAGACAAAAGATATTGCAAATAGAATTTTTCACAACTTCCTGGTCAATTTTACTCTGAAAACAAAGATAAACCTGTCAATGATTAATTTAAATATATTTGACAAGAAAAATTTGCATCCAAGTTCCTTGTGTGGCAAGTAATCTGTAGCTGTGGTATGCAGTCCTCTTGTTTTGTCAATAAAAAGACTTTGACTACAGATCTCTACATAAAAGAATGCCCCCCAAAAATACTTTTGCCATTTATGAGAAAACCCAAATAGGGATGTCTCATTTGGGCTACATCTTGCTGCTTTGAAATGTTCTAAAAAAGTTCTACAGTGGTGCAAAAATAATAATGTGAAACTTGTTTCTAAAGATGCAAATCCTCCAAATTGTCCTGAAGAGTGCAAGATTAAAGATTTTTAGGCAATAGTTAAAGGAGTTCTTTGTAAGACAGATAGAGTAACAAAAGATAAAAAAGACAAAAAAAGTGGATTAATCTGACCAATAAGGTAAAAAAAGAAAAAGTCTGCAAAATGATGGAACTAACTTGCTATAAAATTCTATCTCTTGTCAAACAGCCCACAAGCCCCTTAATTTGAAACCCTAATTAATTTGAAACCCTAATTGATGTAAACAAATTTAATATTAAAAAAAGTTGAAATAAAAGAAGTTTATGGTTTTAGAGGTTTTAAATAAAAGAAGTTTATGGTTTTAAAGCAGAAATCTCAATTTAAAATTGACTGGATTTTCCACTCAATAAACATTTAATCATCATACAATAATATTGTAGTTAAATGCAACAGAAAACATTTAAAAACTCTTTTTTGTAGGACAGCTTCAGATTATTTGATTGTTTCACCAAATCTAAGGGGCTATTCAGTTGAGGTCATCGAAATTTTGAGCAACTTTTTTGATATATCTTTATAATCCTATAAGTTGTTAACTCCAAAACACAACCTTGAAGAATAAGATTACTGCGCAGAAAGCAAGTTAAGCACAGTTTTAGGATCATGGTAAGGATTGAACTGAGAACTTCTCAGTTGCGAAGTGAGGGCTCAACTACATATTATTCTTGGATTGTTAAAATATATGACATTTACTGTTTTACTTATGAGTCTTTATATGTTCACTTTTAATTAACAAATAACATAAATAAAGAAAAAATTTTGTAATTGTCTTGAATAAAGGTTCAAGACAATTACAAAAAAAGGTTTCTAAAAGGCTCAAATTTTCTACTAAGCACTGTTAAAATATTAAATTTTGTTTTACTTCATAGATCAAACACTTTTTGATACTTTTTATGTTACATTATGCATTTTCACTGTTTTCAAAATTATTTACCATAAAATAATCATGAAGATTATTTAACGTTATGAAATACTGAAGACATCATAAATCATACTTTTTTACTTATAATTTTTTTGCTCAATGAAAAGTTTATGACTAAATTTAATTTGATTTTTTTATTAACAAGCTATTAAAAAATATGCTGAATCAGCTCTTGATAAGCTCTTAAATTCTTTATTTGTTGAAATTTAAAAACTTTTTTTTACTATAAGAAATAGCTGTATAGTTTATGTTGTCAATCATATGCATAACACTACTTATGTCAAAAAACCTGAACTGCCAAAGTATATTTTCAAAACTATGTAATATAATTTTAACAAAAAATAGTTATTTCTAAGTTATTTCAATAATGTGGATTGGTAAAATGAATTTAAAAGTAAATCTATGAATGAAGTGTATGATTTAATTTTGTATCATTACAATTATGCAATCCAATATCCTAAGAATTGATTATCAAAATAGAATGAACAAAAACAAATGGATTACTCTTGAATTGAAACATAAAATAAGAACTAAAAGCAATATATGGCTTTTTGATAAATGTAATGGCTGGAATGACAATTTAACAAAAATTAATAAGTTAAAAACTGGAATATCAAGAACAATATATAACAGTTAGAAAGTACAATAGCTAGCAAATTAAAGTCAAATCCTAAATTGCTTTGGAAATATATTAATGAGAAGAAATCAGTGAAAACTTAAATTCGAGCTCTGGAAAATGAAAATAGTGAAATTGTAAATGATCAATTTACTATAGGTACTGAACTAATTAAGTTTCATTCTGTTGATGATAATGATACAAGCACTATTGAATTGCATAATATACATTCAAATTTATCATTAGGCAATAACACAATAACACAAAATGATATTTAAACTAGACTTAAAGCACTATTCAAACTAGACTAAAGCACAACTAGACTTGAAGCACTTCATAAGTATGTTTAAAAGAATTCAACTTGTCAATATCATACCTATTATATCTAGTGTTCAAAAAACTGATTGAAATAGGTACCTTACCAGACATGTTGACAGACAAGGCAAATGCCACTTTTTATAAAAGGAAGCAAATTAAAAGCATCAAACTACAGACTGGTCTTGTTAACTTGTAAAGTAACCCATGTAAAGTGTTGGAAAGAATAATAGCTGTATTATGCAATACTTGATAAAAATAATTTACTTTTAAAAAAAAAACATGATTTTATAAAAAGCAAGAGTTATACAATAAACCTATTAGAATACCTAGATATTTTAACAGATTTGTTTTATTATGAAGCATTGGTAGATGTATTGTACAAAAACATTAAAAAAAGCTTTTGATAGTGTTTCACATAAAAAGTTAAAATCCAAGTTATTGACTTCTGGTATTTTTAAGTGGTTTTAGGTGAAAGTGTGATAGATTGGGTTGATGTACTTAGTGGTGTACCAGAGGGGTCTGTTCTAGGTCCTTTCCTTTTTCAGGTATTTTTAAATGAACCAGAAAAATTTATTAATGAATGTGGTTTAAATACAATAATAGGATAATTTCTTCTCAAACAATTGTTTCAAAATAATATAAATAAACTTGAAAAAAATGGATAATAAGATTAAATTTTGAAAAATGTTCAATTATTTTGTTAAAATTATAAAGAATATTCGTACTTTATGAACAATAAAAATATATTAATGGAAATTGAAAAGACAAAGCTAGAAAAAGATATTGGTGTTTATATATCAAGTGATTTGAAATAGAAAATTTGAAAAAGTAAAATATGCAGTAATGCTCTCATAGTATGCTACTAAATAATACATTCAAGTACAAGAATAAAACATTCAGGCCTTCCTAAAGAAAGTTGACGTCTATTTATTGACAGCTCAAAGCAAAATTTGAAATGTGTTCTTCTGCACAATGGAAACAAATTTTGTTCAATACCAATTGTTCAGTCAACAAAAATGAAAGAAGAAAATAACATCATTTCTTTGGTCTTTGAAAGCCTAAAGTATCATGAACATGAATGGGTCATTTGTATGGACCTAAAAATAGTAAACTTTCTCCTAAGACAGCAAACTAAAATAATATCATTAGCAATGCCTTAGTTGAATGAGAAAGAAATCATTTCTCTTTCAGTGCATATCAAGATGGGCCTTAAGAAGCAATTAGTAAAGAATCTTAATAAAAGCAGATCGTGTTAGATATATAGGGGTGAAAATGCCACAATTGAGTACAGAAAATATTTAAGCAAAAGTAATTGATGGTTCACAAATAAAACAACTTGTTAATGATTCTGCTTTTGTGGATTCAATAAATGAGGCTGAGCGAAAAGCCTGGACTTGATTTTCTGGAAACATGCAATAATTAAAACTATACTGAACTGGTAAACAAGATGCTTTGTTTGTAATATGGATGTAATATGAGTATTAAGGTGCACTATTTACACAGCAATTTAGACCGTTTTCCTGAAAACTTAGGAGACAAGTGAGGAGAGTGAAAGATTTTACTAAGATATTAAAACTATAGAGGACCGCTAACAAGGATGATTAGATATGCATATGATGGTAGATTACTGCTGGAATTTAAGAGAATGATCTAAAATACATTCAAGAATTCATGGAAAAGAAGCTTCTGGAGTGTTTAGTGATTATATTTTGTTTCATAAATACTTTTCTATTTTTTATTTTTGCATATAACACCTATATGATATATATATATATATATATATATATATATATATATATATATATATATATATATATATATATATATATATATATATATAAGTATAATATAGTATATAATTATATATTGGTATAATTAGTATAGCATAATAATCAAAACCATTTTCATAAAAGATATAAAAGATTTTTGTATTTTAAAGAAAAGAGGCTATCAGCCTGGCCCCCTAATTGGCGCCTCAAACATTTGAGCTGAAAGGAAATATAACAGTATATTTATATTCAGGGCATAAAATTTATAAAAAATCTCATGCAAATACCCTGGCACCAAAACAGCTGTAGACCTGTGTAATTAGTTTAATTTGTTAAGAGTGAGTTTTTGACATTTCGTTGACCGATTATTTTAAATGTCTTCTCTGTCTGATCTACAGTGAAACGCAGATATTTCTCTGAAAAGCTGGCCAATAGCACCAATAAGAAGGTCTTTAACAACAGTTGATTCACTTTTATTGGTTTTTAGATTGAATTTATTAAATTTAGGTATCAAAAAAGTTTGCACATCATCCCAGGATTGTTTATAAGTTTTTCTGTAAACAAAATCTCCTCAGTTTCTTTGAACCATTAAAATCACTATTAACAACTCTTTTCAAAATAGTTGTATTAACTCAAGGAGGTACTTTCTTCAAGTTATTTTAAGTTGGCCATAAATTTCGATTTTAGCGTATAATTGTTAGACAAAAGACAGCTTTTCCTCATGTTTTTTGAATTTTTTTTCCCTTGTAAACTTGTAATGGTCTTATTTCTTTTAAACTTAGTTTTAAAAATCTTAAACTTTCCAAGTATAAAAAAGCTGAAAGTTTGACCAATTATTAATCAAAAAATAAACATAGTTAGACGAAAAAAAATTTACAGGCTTTCTTTGTACCCTTTTTCAGCATTACTATATATAAAATTAAGTGCAATTGAAAGACTTTTGAGCTAGCAGTACTTTTGGTTTTCTCAGTAAAAGGCTCTTAATATTAATTTTTTTTTGCCTCGACATTAGTTATATTCAGAAAGAAAAAAGCTAAAAATGTTTTTGGGAAACACCCACCTTGGTTATACCAATGTTACTGATATTTGTAGTATTAACAGTTTCGATAATTTTGTTTTGTTTTTTACTTTAGATTACAAATTTGCTTAGTGTTTATGAACTGCGCAATCACTTGTTAGCCATCAATTCTCTGCTTCGCACCATTGTTAACTTAGTTGTGTCTAGTATTTTAGATGGTCCAGGTGTAAAAATTAAAGAAGCTGGATGCTGCCTTGCTTACTCTTTGTCTATTGTTAAAGTAAGTATTTTAGATTAGCATATTATTAAAAAAAAATTTATCATCTAATAGTGTTTGGGATAACGTTTCAAATAAATTTTATCACAAAAAGTAAACTTTATCGCCCATTAACACATTTTTATTATCGTTTTTCATTATTTACTGAAAGATAAAATATTTCTTAATTTATTATTTCTTTAATGTTCTTTTTCGGGCGGAAATTAATCTTATTGGCAAATAAAAATGTAAACTAAACAGAATTTACGTTAGTGAAAATTTTGTGATGAAAACATCAAGAAATTGTTTGTAGCAAACCACTTATAAGAAAAAGGAAGAGACAAAAAAAGATAAAAATTTGACTAGCTTGATCTTTTCAATTTTAAAAATATTCTTCATTTTGAAGCAAGAATCCTGAAGGATTTCGATAAAAAAATCTCAAAAAATTTCGATAAGTAGGGTAATGAGTCTATTTCTTAAAACTGATAAACAATGTGTTGTCGCTCAGTAAACAATGTGTAGTGTCTTCAATTATTCTATAAAAAGATTTTTATGTTTTTATTAATACTATTTATTTTAAACATTTATTTATTTTAAACATTTATTTATTTTAAACATTATTATTTATTATTTTAAACATTATTATTAACATTAATACTATTTATTTTAAACATTATTATTTATTATTTTAAACATTATTATTAACATTAATACTATTTATTTTAAACATTATTATTTATTATTTTAAACATTTAGATAAATGAAGATCACACGTTTGAAATCTCGTCAGCTCTTTTACATGTTATTGCAGATCTAACAGAATCAACTGAAGCTAGTAATGTTTTTGTTTGAGGAAATTTTACAAAGTTGAAATTTTTGGTTTTTTCAGATTATATATTGTTTATTTCCTTGATGTTGACTATTTTTTGTAAAATATTTTCACTTTTTTAATTTAAGGAAAATATTGTATCGAAGCATTGAAATGTTTTATGAAAAAAAGTGATCAGGTAAATTTTCAGTATCAACGGTATAGATTTTTTTTTCCTGTGTGTAATTTAAACTTCTGTGTGTAATTTAAACTTCTGTGTGTAATTTAAACTTCTGTGTGTAATTTAAACTTCTGTGTGTAATTTAAACTTTTGTGTGTAATTTAAACTTTTGTGTGTACTTTAAACTCCTGTGTGTAATTTAAACTTCTGTGTGTAATTTAAACTTCTGTGTATTTTAAATTTATAAAATTCAAGTTATAGAGAGTAAAAAAGGAACTTACGTTTATAAAACAACTTTTATGTTTAATAATGCAGCCTTGGTGCCGTGGCTACAGTTTTCGAAACCTATAGGTCCGAGGTTCTATACCGACTCCGACAAACATTTTTTAAATTTTAGCATTAAATTTTATTTTACTTTAAATGTTCGTAGACATTATAATAGACTATTTTTTACAGCTTATTTTATATCTCACTAACTGTTACGAGTTTGATCATTTCAATTGTTTACCCATTTGGTAAACAATTCTAACTTATTTTACTTTGTACTTAAATACTTGTTAATATTTGCAGGTGTCGGAATTAGCAAGTATGATAGTTCCCAGTATTTATGAATTGGAGTTAAGATGAGTGAAAAATAGATATGCAATCATCGCATGAAAAGATAACGTCAGCAGAAATGTGCATGTAACAGATCGAAAATGATCTATAAATAAATTTCAAGTTTTTAGATAGGGTATTTAGAATTTTTATTATATTTTTGTTTTGATTTTTTTAGTAAAAGATTTCACTTGTTTACTTTTTTTTAATATTTAATGAATAAGCGAGACGTTGAGAGCCAGAGTGGCCTAACCCCACTACGGTTCATTCTGAGAAAATCGCATTTAAAACTTTATCAAGTAATTAAAAATAATTAAATTCAAATTTTAAGAAAAAAAAAGAATACTGAAATAGAAATCAGTGTGGTTAGGCCGCTTTGGCACAGGAAAATATGTTCAAAAATGCCTTACGATGAGACCATAAAATGCTTATTGGAAAAATAAGGGGTTAGGCCACTCTGGCTCTCAGCACCTCAATTACACTATCTTAACATCCCCTTCCCCACCCCACCCCCTCCCACCCCTTCCTTATCCCTCCATTCTTCCTTTCTTTCTACCTTACAATTTTCCATTTTGTTTTGTTTTTAAACATAAACGAATGAAATTTTTTGCTATCCTTGTTATAAGTAAAATATAAAAAAAAAATTTTTTTAGAGCGTTAAATAAATTTTTTATAAATATATAAATGCACAGTAAAATATTTATTGGTATATTAATAATAGGATTTTCAAAGTATGTAGTTTTTTTCGTTTAAATATATTTTCATGTTGTTGCTCGTTTTTGTGGTTGCGCGTATATTGTACAATTATTACGTATTATGTACAAAGAATTCTTGTTATGTTCCAGAAACGTTTAACTAAAAAAGTATGCAATATATATGGTGTGAAACTTTACCACGCGTATTTATGGATAAATTGTGAGCGCATATTTATTTGCGATCATTAGTTCGCTTTTGTTTGCTTATGTAATATGTTTTGGTTTACTTACGTAATATACTGTATGTTTGCTTATATGTCTTTTTGAATGGTGCACGGTATATATTTTGTACGGTTTCCTTTGTTGAATACATTTTTGTTGCTTTGTCTGATATACTTTGTAGTCATTATATTATGTCTGATTATATAGTCATGATATATCCCACTACAATACTTAACATAATATTATAATATGACTTAGTGAAAGTGTTTTTGGCTTATTTTACAATAAATTTTTAGTTATAACATGTCTAAATTGTATCGTAAGGAGGGTTACCAGACGTCCGGCAAAAGGAGAATATGTCCTTTTTTATCCTTTGTCCTCTGTTCGACAGGCAATGCTGAAGGTATAATTTTTTACCTTCCAAGTTATAAAATTTAAAAAATAACAAAACATTAATTAAAACTCCCATAAAACCTTAACCAGTTAACAAATCCGGTTGATATTTTATCTAGAGTTTGGTGCGAGTTGATGCTACATTTGCACTAATATTTTTTCAAATTTCATAAAATCGTTCTTATTTTATAGATGTTTTTATTGGCGCACTATAAAGTCAAAGTTTCATTAAATTTGAACATTCAAAGTAAATTATTTTCCGCGGACAAAATAAAAAGATTTTAAAATATGCATCACAGGGTACCTTGATGTGTACGCTATTACGTTAAGTGGCGTTCTTGGGTCAGCAAGGTTAGCATTTTTATGATCCGTGCTAATCGTGCATATTTCTTTTTTCAAAATATCATACTATTTAAACAGTTTAAACGAATGCTTAAACGTTTAAACATTGGTTTCTTTTTTGAGTTAAGTCGTCCAAGTATATTAATAATAACGATTCTTTTGATGAGTTGTTTCAAATTATCAATTATCATTAATTTATCATTAATGGCATTATCAAATCTTTAATGTTATTTGCAACCCCCTCAAATTGAGGGGGGTTTAAACTTTATATGGTCATAATTTTTGAACACTAAAATATTTTACTATGAAATTTAAAAATTATCGATAAATATAAGTCTTGTTGAAAATAGTATAAAAAATATTTAATCAACTTGTTGCTCTCAAGTTTGGGGCATAAGATTTTAGGGTTTCTTGTTCCCATTATCCTATAACAGTATTTTTTTTTTGTGAAGAATCTTTTCGTCATTAGTACGTAAAAAAGTTTGAAATATTCTTTTTGTTTTAAAGTTGGTTATTTCAAACATTTAAAAACATTTCTACGCCACTGTATATACGTATATATAAATGTTATTTTTTTTAAGAAAAGGATGTACTACGCTAATTTGTTTGGAGACAACGTTTGGCTTTACACGGTTAGCACGGATCCGTATAATGCCTACCTACCTTCCGTATAAGAATTCCTCTTATACGGAAAGTTAGCGTACACATCAAGGTACCCTGTGAAGCAAATTTTGAAATCATTTAATTTTGTCCGTGGAAAATAAATTAATTTGAATGTTCATATTAAGTCAAATTTTTACTTTATAGTGCGCCAATAAAAACACTTGTAGAATTTGAACCACTCAGTATAATTTAATAAAAATTAGTACAAATGTAGCAAATAGTCACAACAAACTCTGAACAAAATTTTAGCCTCATTGGATGACTGGTGTAGAATTTATTGCAGTTTTAGTTGAAGTTTTGTCAATTTTTTGCTACTTATACCTCAAAGCGTTACCGATTACTTTGAAATTCGGTCACTATTTTTAAAATAACGGTTACATGAGTGTTCTACTATGAATACCAACTATTTTTGTTATAATTATTTTATCGGTATATGTACAATTTTCATTTTATAGACCAAAATAGTGATTTGCTACTTAAAGCGTGATTTGAATTGGCTTATGCCAATGGCGTTAACACTGCCTTCAAAGTGGAGGTGGTCAACCCCTCAATTATTAATAATTAATAAATAAAATAATAATAATAATTAATAAATAAAAATAAAATCCATAATTTCTAAAATAACTGCCTATATTTCTAACACAAAATGTCGTCGCAAAAAAAAAGTGGGCATGCCATGGCTCCCTTGACGGCCATGTATGCATAGCGTGAATATACCAACATTTCCTAAGGTACTACTACTTCCAGAATTCAAAAAAGTTCTAAAAAAAATGGTTAAGAAGGATTTCAAGGGATACCTACATAGAAATAAAAACATTTATTTATCTGAAAACTGTGAAAAAAACCTTTTTTTTTTTTATATTGACAAAGATAATTGACTTAAAAAATTTAGATAAGTTAACTAAGATATCTGACCAATACAAAGTTTGGAGGGCCAGTCGGAGAAAAATTACTCTAACTGAATAACTAATTAGGTTGAAGGGTCGTTTTGAAATAAAACAACCCGTGTGACAAGTATCATTAGTTCAATAAGTGTGACAGTTATCAATAATGTAATTTCCTTACAAGTAAATAGTTTAAACAATTGTTTCCTGGAAAGGAAAGAACAATTCAGGAATTATTTCCTTGTAATTTAATATTACCTCAATTAAATCAGGTAAATATTTCCTTTATTTTAATAGTTTTTAATTAATAATATGTTACTATGTTAAGTGGATTGTTATCAAATATAAATTTAGGTCAAGTTTGGTAAAAGGCAGAGTTTGATTTAGTGAAGTCAAATTTAGTGAATTGCCACGAAGCTAAATCAAGCAAAGAATCATGATGAAAATCGAAAGTTTGTGTACTTGCTCTGTCAGAAAAAATATTTACTACTTTTCAAGCAGATCGAATATGCCAACTGTACAAGACCAAGACTTTGCGCAGGAAAAAATAGGGGAAAGAAGTTGCATTCCCTCCTTTGTTTGATTTTAAGTCAATACAAGTGAGACTTGAAACAAGAGGCACGATGTGTTACTGCCTAATATGCCGAATTGGTCGTTCAAAGCTGCAAGAAAAACATCCTCTTATAGAGCAAACCACTATTGAAAAAAACCATAGGTGCGTTGCAGCAAATGCCTCAGGCCTTTAGAAAAAGGTTTTTCCCACAAATGCTCTCAAATAATGTTAAGGAAAAACATTTAATCTTTAGCAGCAAATCACCCGAAAAAATAGCATCTCGAGTTATTTCCAATAAAGAGTTATCTCCGGAAGGAACTGTTTTACTGGCTAAAGCATCCGGCGGGCCTCCACTTACAGTTACCCCTGATAAATATTTATACTTAAATAATTTTAAGATATATATTGAAATAAAGTCTTGACTATTAAGAAATAACACTAGCCCCCTAACGGATTTTATTAGTCAGCAAATTGGACACTGGATTCGGCAAAGTTGGATCTATAGTTGGCAGTCGGCAAATTTTGGAAAACGATGACCTTTTTTTTATATATATATAAATTAGTGGGCAAAAAAATTTTTCTTTTGGCTTTAGTTAGCAAAAAACAGACACATCACCCCCCCCCCTTCTTGTTTAAAATCTCTTTGGGGCGGCCCTGTTCAAGATTAAGTTATTTAATTGATTTAAGATTAAGTCAAGCTTAAATTTAGCTATTTAATCTACAACATATCTATAGCAAGGATGTTTAACAAGCTATACAAGTTACAGTGTAAATTTATAAATTAGAAGTTACAAATTGAATAAAAATAGAACATGAATGATAAATTGATAGGACAATGTAATTTTTTATTTTTATTTTTTAGATATTGTCAGGCTGTACGTTACGACTCACCTTCCTGTTAAAAGTTCCTCCAACTACAAGTAAATTTTAAATATTTTTCATAGCAGTATGTTCTAAGAAGAATTACTAATTAGATTATTTATATTTGATAATTTCTTTATATTATTTTTGGAGATGAACCCACAGCAAAATGTCTGTGGGTTCGTCTATAAATTACGTTCTTTTACGCGGCGATTTTCATTAAACTTAATGAGCTACTTTATTTTATTTTTTAAGCTAAGATTCTGCAAGGGAAAACCTTTGATCTTTTTTGTTTTGTTTATTGTGAAAGTTTACGTTATGTGGACGAATTCTGTACAGAAAGAAATTGCGTTACACGGGCGAATTCTGTACAGAATGAAACCACTTGCAGAAAAATTTCTATACTGATTGGTCTATTTTATAAAAATTTTATAGTTATTTTTACATAGTTTTTACTTACTGTGACTGTGAGTTTGAAAACACGCGCAAATTGGCAATCGGGAGATTTTTTGACAAAAATTATTGCCGCCAACAGCGACTATTGAAAAAAAACTAACTGGGTATAACAAATCATTTGTGACTGGAATATTCATAATAATTTTTTTTTGATACAATAAATTATTTTCTTTGTAAAGTAAAAAAACAGCGATGTTTTAAAAGTTACTTTTTAGTCCGAAAAACATATAAATCTCAATATCTTCGATGCACATCCTTACAATACTACAGTTACAAGTAATATGGACCTATACGAAGTCTTTATGTACTCTGAAAATTAACGCAATTCGTCAACTTACCCCTGCTGCCAATTAGCTTCATTTATCTTTTGTTAAAATAAAATAATTTTTTTTAAACAACTGTTTAAAAAATTAAAAGTATATATTTGTTAATTAATATGTGTGTGTGTTTGTGTGTGTGCAACTTACTACCCTACGGGCATTTGTTTTCAAGAGTTATGTTCTAAATGTCTTTTAAACGTTTTTTAAACGTTCTTAACAAAAGAATGTTTAGAAAACGTTTAAAAACATTTAAAATACATTTAAAACGTAACTTTTAAAAACAAACGCCCGCTGGGTATGTTCTCTTGTATTCCTTCCTTTGGTTTATTTCTATTTGTTGAAAACTAACAGGCAACATTGAAATCGATTTTCCTTTTTTTTTTTTTTTTTTGATTATACTTTCTAACTTTGTTGAGGTTTTTGGATAAAGTATAATAATAATAATAAATCTTTTATTTTAGAATTTTCAAGTATTGCATAATATGGTGAACTGGTAACTATAGCAGCATGTTTAAAAGAATTTTGTTTTAGTTGAATGTTTTAGTCACTGTACTACTGGATTTTTCTGATGTAGGATATGTTCTATATTTTTTATAGTTGGTCTCGTCGTTTTTTATTGTTCCCTGCGAATCACCAATAAGTGTGATACTAGAAATGTTATATTAACAATAAGTGTGATGTTGCATTTGACTGTTAC